TTGCATGTTTTACCTCTATATCCACCAAAATATTCCTAATGCAAACACCTGGAGACTTCTTTAGGAATCCATTGTTCTCTGACACAAAGAGGCCTGTAGCCTCACTGGGATGGAGACAGATTGGATTGCAAAAGAGGGGTTCTTGTTGAGATGCAAATGGATTTTAAATTTCCTGGACTTGGAAAATCTCCCTGTAGCCACAGGGGCAAAAAGAGGAGGAACCTTCCTGAAAAAGATATTTTCCCAGTCATATATCATCTTAACTTAGGACTGAAACAACATGTAGGCATCTGACTAACATGTCCAATTGTTTTTCTTCTGTTTGGTTTGTAACATCTTGCCTTATGAAGAAGCCCATGGAGTTTTGAAAGCTTGCAACAAGTATATTGTGGTTGGCCAATAAAGGTATCACTAATGGATTTTTGTTTGAATTTTCTGCATTGAGAAGGGGAAAGTCCAATGTGTCTGGAGACTGTCACATTGGGAAAGGCTGCCTTAAACTTGAAGGCTCTCATCTTGTTGTGTGCCTTCACCCTAAGGCATGGGTGTTTTCTTGCCAAGATTTGTTCAGAGGCACTTTGCCATTGCTATTCTCTGAGGATGAGAATGTGCGACTTTCTGAAGTTCACACACTGGATTTCCATGGCCAAGCAGGGATGTGAACCCTGGTCTCCAGAGTCACAGTCCAACTCTCAAACCACTACACCACACTAGCAGTACTAATCCTACTAGGTGTCCCTGTGACATAAAAGAGTATATATACATAATTTTCCAAAATCAGTTTCAATATTTTTTTTAAAAAAACCTTGCTCTTCAGATGCAACTGTTTCAACTAGAATAGTGCCAAGTTCTATACATAGCACAGATGCTGGCCTAGGCAGAAGCAATGGCAGGAGGGACAAGATTGTGTCAAAAGAAATGAGACAAAGTTGTAGCAATGGCAATTTTCCAAGCCAGCCTTCCCAGAACACCCTGACTCTAAAGATTCATCTGGAAATCAAGCACTGGAGAAATGAACTGCTCAGAGATCACAGCCTTCCCCTGACACTTCTGAACAAACTGAAAGGCAACCAAAGCTATGAGGTTTTCTTCAGCTTGATTGTACATCCTAAAAGACTCTCGATCTCAGTCTGCAACTTTGTGAAATCAATGCTTCTCTCAAGGTACCAAGGGTTTTTCACACCACACAGTTATAGCACTATGATTCCACTTTAACAAACCATGGCTACATTTTGTGGAATCTTGGAGCTTGTAGTCTGTTGAGGTACTACAGCTCTCTCTCACCTAGAATGCTAAATATCCCTCCCTGAACTGCAAATTCCAAGATTTCATAGGATGGAGCCATGGCAGTTAAAATGCAATTGTAGCATTAAATTGTCTAATAATTTTCTTTGTTCTACAGTGTTGTAATAATGTTGAAGGTTTCTTCTGTTTTTACTGGGTCCTCCCACACTTGATTCTTATAAACTGACAAAAACACATTATAGTTCAATTGTTCTTACAATTGTAAGGGAACTCACACATGTATATGCCACCAGCTATAGCATAGATGTGAACACAAACAACATGTAGGTCATGGAAATCACAATCATGGGGGGAAATCTTCATAAAAGTAGTGTTTGGGATTGGGAGAGAAATAGCTTCAGGACAATGGGCTAAGAGTTGTGATCCCAAATATCTAGAGGGCCAAATGTTCTTCCCTTCAGCTCTATATATTAATCTTTGGACTTTATCACATGGGCAAAAGAGATGAGATAATAATGGGCTAATATGTTCCCATCACTATCGCGCAATAATGGGATGATTTTCACATGACGTTGCCATTATCATGTATCCTGTGAATAAAGTGGGAAAATCCTGTAAATAAAAAGCAGCATGACTAGTATTATAGAAACCAACAGGGTGTTGTGACCCCTTGCAGTTTATGATTTATTTCTACTTTATCTATTACTAGCGAATACATTTATATAATTTTTCTGTAATAAGCTTAAAACAGTAAACTTAATCTGTGAGTCTGGATTAAATTTAAATTTAGATTAAGTCAAGGTCCCCTAGTAGGTTTTGTAGTTCAATGGAGAGTTGAGCCCAGATCTCTGAAGAACCAGTCGAAAACTCTTACTATTGCACTAGTGGCACAAGGAAAAGGATTTGTGCACAGATCCATTTAAATATAAACATTTAAAAGTTTATAGCAGTGAACAACATTCTGCTGGCTAGATATCTTTGTACTACTGATAAACTCATCAACATGTCTGCATGCCATGTGGGCTTGAAGGTGATGCCCTTATTCCTGTATACTGTGGCTGCAGTGAACCTCCATGCAACCATGGTGATTAATAACATTTCCTTAGAAACTATTGCATGTGTCCTGGACATTCTTATCTTTAATCTGAGATATTTCCCCCTGATGCTAGTTACTCAGCAGAGAGGAAAAGACACTCTTCTTCATTATTACTTTACACATTCAAGGATGGAGGTATGATGCTGAAGACAAGTTCTTTATTATTGCTTTTCATAGATCAAGGCTGAATCTTGGCACACAGAATGGCTTTTGGGGTAGAACCAATACTTTCAAAACATTTCTCCAAGAAAGTTAATAAACCAAAACAACATTTTGAAAGTAACACAATTTTACAGTAACTTGTCCTCACTTTCTTTCTCTTCACCGGCCACTGTATCTGATGAAGAAAGGACAAGTGAGCTTAATATCATTATATGTTATAACTCAAACAAGAGGATAACAACAACCCTGAGTTTCTTTTGTGTTAAGTCTTCCTGGTCTATAGACAGATGCCATGGTGGGCACTTTGGTTCTTTTCTTGTGGTCTCATGATCACAAAGGATGTTATCACATGTACAAAAGAGACAGGATAATAGCACTATGCTCCCATCAATATCACAAATAGCGGGATGATTTTCACATGATGTCACCATTATCACATGATTATCCCATGAATAAAGTGGCAAAATTGTGCTGCTTTTTATTTGCAGGATTTTCCCATTAATAAAAACCGGCACAATTTTGTCACTTTATTCATAGGATAATTGTGATAATGGCAACGTTGTATGAAAACCATCCTATTATTGCATAATATTGATGGGAGCATAGCGCTGTTATCCAGTTATAATCCTGTCTCTTTTGCTCTTTTGTGATAAAGTCCAAAGATTAATATATAGAGCTGAAGGGAAGAACATTTGGCCCTCTAGATATTTGGGATCACAACTCTTAGCCCATTTGTCCTGAAGCTATTTCTCTCCCAATATTCAGCCCATCTCAAACACTACTTTTATGAAGATTTCCCCCCATGATTGTGATTTCCATGACCTACATGTTGCATGTGTTCATATCTATGCTACAGCTGGTGGCATATACATTTGTAAGTTCCCTTACACAAACTATCGCACTTGTTACGTCACTGTGCAATGGACATATTCATTTCATGGTTGCATAAACAGTGTTCCACATGTGTAACCATTTCACACGCAATTACACATTCTTGGATAGTGCATAACTATTTGTCATGCCTTCAGTGTACCAATTTATTCATTGGGCCCTCAGAAACAGGCATGTCACCATGAATTCCCTATTCCATAGTCAGACATTTTCAGATTAATTCAAGCCTTGCTGCCTCTCTTTCTATAAACAAAACCCAGGGTGGAGGCAGCTGGGAGTGACAAGAGTGGGGTTAAGGGATTGGTAAAGTGCTATGTGTAAATACACTGGCTCTTTTGTAGAAAAATGTATTATGTTTAGTAAAACAAATCTGTATGGCTCATGGCTAAAGACATGAAGCACTCACTTTCCTGTCTGACAGCAAGTAGAAAAATCTTGGTAAGAGACACTTGACCCTTTTCAAGTATCATCTCATGGCAATAATGACCTCTCATGCATATTTATGTACAGTACTTTGCTTTTATAATGGCTACTTGAAAAGAAGCTATGTTAAGGGTGACAAAGAAAATATTCCTCGGTCCAAATATCAGAAATGTTTCTGGTATTTCCTGCATATCAACCAAAACCCATCCCACAGAGGATGTAGCAAAGAGTCTAACCTGCTAAGTGTTTGTGCAGACTTTGTTTAGATCACCCTCATCATATGTTTTTGTTGAGAACCAAAATAACAAAGATTTACCCAAAGCCATTTTACACAGGACCTGTGGCAGGGCAGGTTGTTTTATAAGTCCCTGTTTTTGTTGCATAGAACTTTGTGTTGTTGATTATGCACCCTAAGCAAAATCATATGACTCCCATTTCCTAAGTACTGTAACATAATTATCTTATTGATTCTTTTGAGGAGAAACACTACTTTTATTGTTAATTAATGCTGCAAAATCTGGTTATGCAAATCTGGGCATGGGAAGTCCAATAAAGGGGAAATACTGGCTAAAAATAGTAAGTGTCATATGCACATCCTTGTATGCGAATTTACATTTTCCTTGTGTAAGTCTCTCTCCTAACTGAGGCAAAGGATGTACCCTATGACCGCTTTTCATGAAAGGGAAAGAAATGCAGGCCACAGAACTCCAAAAGAAGTTTTAAAAGAAAAATAAACAAACAAAAAAAAAACCCTGCCAGGATATTTGATAATGCTAAAGAAGAGGAGGGACAGGAATGCATACGAGCCAAGCAACACACTGTTTAGACCCAAAAGAATTTTAGGGGTGGGGAAATGAAAAGAATGTTTGGATTCCTTTCCAAAGCATCACTATTTTTAAATACCCTTCATGAAAAGAAAGAGTGGGAGCAAATGGAAGTGAACCAGAGAATTCCTCCACAGACAACATTTTGCCTATCTCTCAGCAAAGAAAGATCCATCAGATGTAGAATAACTTCTTGATTCTTTCAATTCTTAGCCAGTGCTCTAATGAAATTCAAACCTGCTACATCTGCCGTACTACACTGTTAATTAGTTTTCTATTTATTTAGCAGATCTAGAAGTGGAAAGCAATCTATTGCCAGTGAATTGTTTGACTTCTATGCTAAGTAGGCTGCATTCCAATCCTCTGATGTTGAAACTAGCAGGAGCCCAACTTTCATCTGACTGCCATGTCAAATTAGCACCCAGCAGATTCTAGATGCAAAAGCTCATCTCTCCCTCCTCCTCCCTCCTTTTCCTTTGTGGGTTTGCAAAAGAGCAACATGTTCTTATGAGTCAATATAAGCAGTCACTAGGAAGCAATTTGCTGTTCCCATCTCTCTCCTTGTGTCTTGTTCCTTCTTAAATTGATAAGCTGCTTTAAAAACTAGAATACTGAAGGCATGGAGATTTCACTAAATTGTGACTAAGGTTTGTTTGTTGTTTAAGTTATCCTTGCTTTTATTGTGCAAGCTTTTTTTTAAAAAAAGTAAAAATATGACTTTGCAGAAATAGGCACATATAAGGAAATGCTGGAACATTTTACAAATCTGGTGCAATGTAATAAATGACAGTGCAAACCTATGTCTAGATGGAAATAAGGCCCATTGAGTTCAGTCACTGTTAAGTGTTAATTCAGGATTGTCACTGCACGTCTGTATGAGTTCATACAAAAGAAAATCCCATGAGCTTCAGTTGAGTTATTCGCACACAAGTGGACAGAATATTGCAATCTGAAAGTGAGAACTCTTCTGTTAATTCAGCATATTGTTATGATAGACCAATAGAATATATAGTATATATTTCACAATACGTTTATTGGCTACCACAGCACTTGTGGGCACATGCCAAGATACTGC